TTACATATAATCAGTAATGTCGTATATACTCAACTGTGTGTGAGTGTGTTATTTTACAGATTTGTTATTGATCACAGTAATTAGTTTGTGAAGTATTGATGTGCACATATGAATTGGAGTGAAATAATTAGAAAAATGTGGATTTACCACACGACCGTCATCTTCATGACCATTGTATTCAGAGTTCAATTAAAATAAACTGTGAGCTTTTCTGAACAAGAAGCAATACTGATTTTGGGTTTTAATTATTAAGCGATAAATACAATTTCCAATGATGTATTACTTAACTAAGTGGCATAAGACAAAATTGCTCAATCCCTGCTGACTAGAAAAACATATATTACTGGTTGCTAAACAATTGAGGATTAGTTCCGTTGATAAGGCTTTAGAAAATCGGTTCAGCATGACTGAAAGAAGCGTGTGCTGTAACCCATTATTTGCAGTGAGCCATTAGAAGTAGTTTAGAAAATCGGCCTATTTCAGTAGCTTCTCGTCAAGTGGTTACAACTATTTATGTATTGAAATGTACCATTCAAGTAAAATATAATGTGGCACAACTGACAGTGGTGATGGGAAGAAGGAAAATGACAGGGATTATAAAAAAATGATATTGACAGTGTTATTCTAATTCTTTCTGTCAATAATGTCAATTTTTACGTATTATGATTTACCTTCATGCTACATCCCAATGCATATACGGTTATAAGCAGCTGATGAAAAACCATGAAATATGATAAATTCAAAATTTTCTACTTCGATTGTTTTTTGGGCTTTATTCAAATTCATAAAAGGAACCAATCGCATGATATTTCAGTGGTTGTGTCAGTACTGGTGGTGGTGTGACTGATTATATTAATCTTGGCTTATTGAATGTCAAGTGAGTTTATGTTGATCCAGTCCATCATTCATGACATCATGATGTTAGTTTGGCTGTAAAGGGTCGTGTTTTCAATAAACCGATTAGAGCAGCTTTGCTCTGTACTTGTGAAAACTAGCCTCTCCGAGTTGAGGATGCTTGGCAACTCTCTGTGTTCGATCATCTTTATTTTTGAAGGATTCCTGATATACATTGGCGACATCATATTAGGAATCCAGGTCTACAATGTGTATTTCGTCATAGTGATGGCAATTTATATGACGTTAACAACTGGGAACATCGATTCTGGTGGCTTTTACATGTTTTACGAATACCACCACAGCGTCCCACACATCGTGTTTTGTTAGCCGGCTCTGGGAATAGTTGGAAAAGGCGAATTGATGGCCATTTTATGATATGGTGCCTGAGAGAATGAAAGCTGTTCAGGGCTAGCGCATGTCAATTCATCATAATCGCTTGGTCCGAAAGATAGTGCAACACAGCGTCTTGAGAGTTATACTATTCGTAACTCAATACTAAGTTTCTTATTCTGAATGCGTCAATTAATTGACTATAAGTAAAATAATATATTTCAAATAATCTCAGCGATTGAAATTTAACTGATTCCAACGTTTCGTCCACCTGACTTGTCTGGACTTCTTCAGGGTGATAGTGAAAGAAATATATTGCGTTTAACAATCAAATCACGTCAACTCTATACTGTCCTAATACATTCATATACAGAGTTAAAAACTATTAAATTCAAAGATAATATCGATACCATCCATATAGAAGAGGATGAAACGATGAGAAGTTTTGATGTACCTTCCTTATTTATTAATGCACCTATCAACAGAGCATTGGATATTATTTATGATTGTTTAGAATCTAACTCAGATTTGAATTCACGATGTCCGTCAGATCCATCCGAAGCTATTAAGTGCTTGGAATTGTGTTTACAATCCACATTATTCACATTTCGAGGAGATCTGAACAGAAAAATAGAACGTATAACAATGGGTTCACCAGTTTCTCCGATTGCAGTGAATTTATTCATGCATACCCTACAAACCAATGCGATCACAAGATGTGCACATCTACCAAAAGTCTGGTTATGGCATGTAGAGGACATTTTTACTATCATTAAACGAAATGGTTTGGAAGAATTGCTTGATGTAAACAGCATTTCAGAGAGCATCAAGCTAACACAGGAAATAGAGTCCAGTGACCACAAACTAGCGTTTCTCGATTGTTTGATTAAACGAAGACATAATAATAAATTGAAAATAAGTGCATTCAGGAAATCAACACATTCTGAAAGATAATTAGATTGTGGTTCGGCTTATGCGCTGTGTACGAAAGTCACTCTTGTTAAAAATTTAATCAACAGAAATATTAATCTTGTTACAGATAAGGAAGACCACAAGTTGAATCGAATAGAGGTTTGTCTACACTTGGGGATAATATCTACCTAAATGTTTCTAAAGATTACTAGAAATGAAAGAAAAGCTAAGCTAGAATGTATTTCGAAAGTTCACCATGGTCACCCCATACCGTAGTGACACACTGGAAGAACTCAGGAGGATTCTAAACAAGCATGATATAAGAGTGTATTTTCAGGTTAGTGGCACCATAAGATGGGCATTAGTGAAAGTTTAGGATAGGTTCCCGAAGGAGGAACAACAGAACACTGTTTATGAGACTAACGGTCATGAATGTGATGCAGATTATTTGGGAGAAACTTCAAGGCAATTTAATGTAAGATCGAAGGGACACATAAAGTGTGTGAAAAATGTTCTCGAATCCTTGGTTGATATGAAGGAACTTGAGAATATGTCAGTGATAGCGTTACATGCGTTGGAAACAGGACACGAGATCAACTTCAGAAAGGTTTTAACACTCATAAAGAAAGATTGACAGCAGAAGCGCTGTATATATGGGCAAATAAGAACAGCCTGAACGGAAAGGGTAATATTCAACCACCAACTACTTGGTAAATGTTCGTTAACAAGTAATTGGGTCCTTTCTTTATCCAACCTGTTTATTTCACATACATCTTTATTCTGACTGAAATTAATGTGGGTCAATTTAGCAATAGAATTATGCATTTAACAATTCGCATTTTACTTTCACATCGACGATTCAGAAACAATTTTTTAACCTTCAACTTGCACTTTAATATTTCCTTCATATACAAACAAATTAACACTTAGTATCAACTACTAATAATTCAATTTTACGCATACATGCACACACAATTTGTTCGGTCATTTATTTTCACATGATTCGCCTTTAACTGACTCATGTTATCCTACTTACTAAAGTCAAGATCCAAATATGACTGGATTAGTGCTATATATTTCTTTGATTATCACCCTGAAGAAATCCAGACAAGTTTGCTGGAGGAAACGTTGGAGTTATATTTCAAATGTGAATTTTACATATAATGACTTCTCTATACTCGGAGCCCAATTGTCGTTATGCTATTCGATCTAACATTGACAAATATTCGTGTAAATTAACTGACCAGTTTACTTGCGACTGTCTGGAATAAATTGTTATAATTTATCCTTGGAACAAATTCCCTACCAACGTCTGAACGACATGTCGATAATTTCCTCTTTTCTTATACTAACTTAAAAGTCCTTAAATTGAAGAATACGTGTCACTTCATCAGTGAAATCATAGGGACTTTAAATAGGTGGAAATTGTTATTATGGAGCATACTTGTCAAAATTTCCTTCATGCTGATTTTATTACAAGGTTATATTATTCCTGGTTAATTCCAGACCTCATCCTAACTATAACAGACCTTTCGTTCTTGTAAGGATATATACAGAACAGTTGGTTGGTTCAGATATTTTTTTAAAATCTAGATCTGTATTTTATGAAACAATCAAAAACGTAATGACAATAGACCTATCACAAGAATTTTCCTTGTTATTCCATGTTTTTTATTTTCATTTACTTTGCTTCTAATTGTAGATGATTATAAGTACCATTTAACATAGTTGGAATTATTCATCACTAAACTACACTTTTTCAAACATGACATAGCAATCCTTGTATCAAGAAAATACTAGTTTCTGATTGTCGCACTGTATGCGATATTTATCATTACAAAACTTTCATAAAGTTGTGACAATGCCATTGAACATATGTCCATGTTACATTCTTGATTACAGACATATCTATAATTACAAGATTGATTTTGATTACATTATATACTCCGGTAATAATGTTGTACACCAAAATGATATTACCTCAAATTATGCATTTTATCTACATAGTATGTTTTACATTATTACAAATTGAGTAACAAACATTCAAATAAAAACATCCTACGAATCAGTTGTTTTTAAATAATACATTTTTATTGTTCCATTTCTATTATTATTATTATTATTATTATTATTATTATTATTATTAACCTTGATTATGCTTGTAAATCAGTAAGCACTTTGTAATTATTTTCAAAATATGAATTACATCGTTTAGATAATATTCAAGGTAATCACTATCAATATTGTCCTGCTTTACTGACTGATTTTTAATGACAGGAAAAGAGAAACAACAAAAGTAGAAAAAACGGAACAACAACATAGAATTAATGAATTGAAGTATTTTTATTTTCAAGAAAAAAGAAAATGACTTTTTTCATATTTATATATAAATCAAAATATTATTAATTATTGTTATTGTTTAAACATACATGATGTAAATGGTAATGGACTCTATTGTGGTGCGTGCCACTTATATTGATATAAGTAGTATATAACGTGAGTTAAAATAACATAATGTCTGGCAGCAGAAGATGGGGAAGATTAAGAAAGAAAGAGCGAGAACACACTGGAATTTGTAAGAAATCGCATGAACAATGAAATGTGAGACAATGGATTGATGTTTGCAACAGCAACAGCCCGGTTTGATACGATGGAATGATATTTTGCAAATTAACGATTTACTATAATGGTTTTCTATTTTACAAAGTAACTCTGTAATTTTGTGCTAAATACAATTTGGTTGTCCTCACCTGTGTTCTCCTTCACTACACTATGACAATATTAAATAAGAATGAAATTAATGGAAAAGAAGAGATAAGACAATCTTTTCTTTATCTTTTTGTTTCTTTATTCTTTTTTTTGAAAGCATCATTGATTGCTTCATTCTATTCAACTGTTTTCCTCTTTTTTTCTCTCTCTCTTTGGAATTATTTATTATTAACGTCAAATTTACTGTTTAGAGAATATTGATTCTGTGTTTGGTTTGGGCACTGTATATGGATAATTGTGGTGTAAAAATATTAGTTATAAATGTAAATTAATTTCTGATAGATTATTCATTATTGTTCAGTAATCTTTCAAATGAAAATAAATAAAATGAAACATTATTTAATGAATATGAAGTGATTTATATTAGTTAGTAGGTCATAAACAACATAGAATCTGATAAATATTCGGATCGGTTCAACTTGTTCATACTACATCAACACAGTATAATGAAATTATCAAGACAAACGCATCAGGATAGTAGAACTGCTAACAGAATTAGTGATAGTAAAGGATGAAAACATAAGGCATAGAGAATATGGATCTTGAAGCAAAAACTAATTTGATGAATATCAAGTATAAGATAATTTTGAAACTCAAGATGTAAGGAAAGATAAAGAGTGAATACATCTGAACCGTTCAGATTAGTTTTGAGACATGCCACCACAATCAAACATCTTCAATTAGTGGTTATGATAATCGAGTGGACCTCAATAAAGCATAGTCTGTACCTATCGACAAGGGTTAGTTCAACAATCAATGAGTTCCTGGATTGATCTTATGTTTTGTTTTTCTCTCCTCTAGTTTTTTTCCAGCTTACTCACACACCAGCAAACATTAGTATACTGACTTTAATAAATCACATGCACTAATTTTCTGACACTAGAACGCAGAGTACATTTTGCTTTAAAAATTGGCACAAATATGGAAAATCGATTCAAGAGTTGCTAACACTGTAATAAACAGTATAAGTAAGTGTGAAAATTAACAATAACTAGTTTGAAAATGATGAAGAAAGTAATAATCATTTAGATTGTAGAATATTTAAGATAGAATAGGCCAGACTTAAACTTAATTGCTTGATAATTAATGCAAAACAGTTAAAAGCAAATAGTCTTACATAAAATACATAACAAACTAAACTACTTAATATGTATAAACGATACATGAATATAAGCCAATCACATTGAAATGTGCATAGAATATTATTTTATGATGATGGCCATTATTTCCAAATTGATTAAAGTTCTGAATCATTGTGCAGTTCATAAACGATTTAAAAAATTAACGGATGATCTTAAAATTTATCGCTTAATGAAAACGTTAGCTATGTGATTCTTACGCTACTGCTAAGGCGGTTGCACGAATAGTCAGATTTTCTTAGAAAGGCTAAGATCTGTTGTGGAACGATAATTTCTGCCCACTCGATTTTCCGTATGACCTTTGCCCTCTAACTGGTTGCCATGTTTTTTTAGTTCGATAAGCTGCTACATACTCGAAGGTCATATTCTGCTAATATAGTAACAACTTTTGTACCAATTTTGTTTGAGTTGCTTGTTCTACCACAAATGTTAAGTTACCTGCATATCGTCTTCTTCCTGTCTTAGCCGTCGAGGTTTGATGTGTTGAGTATAATTGATTGTTGTTAGTTCCAAAGAGAACCAATCGTATTAGAGGAACTCAATCGTTTTTGTTCCTAAATCCATAACATCATAGGCCGTACTGAACCTCAATAACAAGACACAACAGCTACATAGATACATTAAAAACTTCGGAAACACCGGTAGAAAAAGCTATCCATATTTTTTCCCTCATCACGGTTCTACGCCACTTCATAGTTGTATACAGTGTAGTATACAACAATCAGGTTTAACTATCGCAATGATTGAATAACTTCAAAACAATAGAGACGACGAAGACAAATTCTTAGGTAGCATTAAACATTAAACTCATGATTTTCTCGTAAAAAAAAGAAACAAAACATAATAAACACGAATAAAAAATCACTTACCACTGGTGTAATAAACTTACTAATCGGAACAATATATTGAATTGTATTCTCAGGTGTAATATCCGGATTGGATAAAGTTGTTTTTGATTCATTAAGAATTAGGTCTTGAGAAGACGAGGAGGAGGAAGAATACAATTCTGGAGGGTTGTTAATACTCATCAACATTCGAGACCGACCTAATTAGATGGTTAAAAGAAAACAACAAAAATACATGTATATTATTAGTTATTATTCTTGGAGAAAAAAACAACTGAAAAATACTTATTGAAGGTGTCAATAAATCTTAGATAACTGAATCTGTTGTTGAGATTATTTGAGAACGTGAAGCTAAACTTATCCAAAGTTCATGTATGTGTGTATTTAGCTGTTTATAAACTGATTAACGGATAGATTTGAATGTGATATCATCATTCACATACATTGAAACAAATTATGAAAGTAAATAGATGTAATTTTCTCAGTAAGTTAAGGTGGATTAGTCGTGTATTCCCACATTCCATAGTTTTTTTTGCTGTTTTTTACGATACAATGGAATATATAAAAGTGTAATGAATACACTTATCCTTTTTGGCTCACAAAAGAATCTTGAGCGATTAATTCCTTCCGTTTCCTGTCAACACCATTCCAAACAAAAAGGAAGTTTACATAGATGATATACCTGCCACCTTAATAAGAAAAGTAGGTACAAATTAGTATAATTTACATTCAATCACTCTGATGTCAAGGCTGAGTGATATTATCGGGTTGTGCAAACCGAAGTAGGTGGAGTGGTATTCGGAATCACACCTTAGTGACTGAAAGTTGAATGCCTTAAACACTGAGCCACCACTCCACTCACAGAATTGTAGTGGCGTGTCAAGATCTGCAAAGTTAACCAATTAATAAGTGAGACAGTAAAGAGTACTAATGATACTAAATGAAAGCCGTATCATATATCACCGAATTAATAAGAATTAAAAATGTAGAATCTAACGGGTTTCGATAACTAAGAAGTATTGTCGGTGCTATAAGTACTGAAAGTTATGACTTTGATTGTATCATACAAAGCCGTTGACTTCGGTATGAATTGTTGAAAAGTATCGAGCATATGATACAATAGCATATGTTCAATACTTTCTAGTTTTGCTTTAGCTATTGTCAGTTTTACATTGAAGCCGACCTAAAAACCACCCGATTAAACTTTACTACGTTAAAGGTTTACGAGCTTTCAAATATATATACATATATAATAAGCGCTTTTAGTTGGGGAAGCGAGGAAATTTACAAAATCAAGTTATACCATATAACTTTTTGGTAATTTGTTTGTATTATATTGAGGGGTTTCTCACAACCATATGTTCTCACACTATGCGTACTTCACCCTAGCGGCCAACTTCTAAAATATTTTTCTTCGCTAGTTTTGTTAATTCTTTAATATACTACTGGTTTTGACCTCATTATTAAGGCTGTTGTAAATATATTTATACACATAATTGGTTTGCGAGTAAGTGATACTAACCGACAATTTAAATCCGAATTGAATGAAGTAACTTAAGTTCAAGCTGGTGACTCAATAGCTAATCATCATTGATCACTTCACATTTATCTCAAAACAGATGAGACAATAGGTAGTGAAGATACATTACGAATAGGCAAGACAAAAAACACACAAATATGCACACATAATAAAATTGAATGCTAACCTGGAAATGAACTGAAAAAATTTCTTGTAGACATCGATGATGCAGTATCTAACGTTTTTATGACCGACGGTATTGGAACTACAGCAGTCCACATCAATATCATAAACGTCATTAACAAGAGACTAGTCCCACCGGCTGCCGCTTTAGCGGCTTGTTTAGCAGTCACCTTATTATTATTATTATTATGATTAAATTCAGTATTGTTGGAGTTTATGAATAGTGGTAAATAGGACTTTTCACTTCGTTTATTCATGAATTTATTGATATAAGACCGTAATTTGCGTAGATGTATTGTAAGACTCCTGATATAAAGTAGAGAAAAGCAAAAACAAACGCAAAAATTACATTAAATAACCAGTTGTAAAATAAAATGCTTAAGTGTTGCAATGTCACACTTATATAATTAACAATTCCATTGAGCCGATTACCGTAAACGTCAGGGTCGACAGCTTCAAATATAAGTAATTTATACATTACAAAATTTATTAATCAGAACATCTTAAAGTTAAATGGATGGTGGTGTGATTCGCTTATTATGACTAGTATTCATGAGTAACTAGTCTGATTTCTTCGGTTAATTATAAACTGATTGTTCTCTTATTGGTTGATAAACTTTACCCGTTCGGATGTACTGAATTGTCAGAGTCAAGAGTAGACTGTTTCTGCTGAGTTTATCACTTTGAATGTGTTCTTTGTAACCTAAACTAACCATTATTAATTGTAGAACTATTTACTATTTATATATGTTCATATATAATTATTTCGATGGGTGAAGAGAGTCTTTTGACTTTCATCGACCTTGGATACGTTCTTCCGATGAGCAATATTTGCTCTAGAGTACACTAAGTATTCAAAAAGTGATTACATACTTAGATTCCAAGCTATGGGATATGCTATTAATGAATCAAAATATGTATGCATCAAACACTACACGAATATGAGCAATTCACTCATATCTGATTAACTGCAATTTGTGGACAGTACTAAGAGAAATATTAAGAATGAAGGGTCGCAAAGCAATGCTTAGAACTAAGGCTGTAGAATTGTATCATAAACCAATTATATGTTTGAGAAATATGTATATAAAAATACATAAACTGATTCACATGAAAAAAGAACTGCTTGACTTGTATAGTTTCTATTCCCTTGCCTCCTTCTCCGATAGTCAGTACAGTCAAACACTAAATTACAAATTTATTACGTCTACAACAATTTAAGCAGTAGAAAAGAACCATTTTATCCATTAGCAACATTCAAATATAAAACTAAGTATACGGAAAGAATGGTCTTAAATTCGAATGACAACAGAGGTTATTCAATAATTTCAGGTTTTTCATGTGTTTTCATTATTTGATATCAGTTCATGATAATAAATTACCTTTAAAAGTAAATAAATCTTATAATTGAATTGATCAGAATTATTGCACTTAATAAAAACATTTGCTTACAAGCCTCAACTAGCATGAAACCTAGATGAAGTAAGAGATCCTGTCGACTACTTTCAATCACCAATCATCACAATTTTATGCATAGGTATGTAGAAGTGAGTGGTGATTAATATCATGCTTGTCTAGTCCTTTAGGGTTGGTCAGATTCTATCGATCAAGTTGCAATCTGCCCACTAGTCTAAGTGACTTAACAATATGTGCACTGCATTAATTTTATCGACTGTTTGTCAAGTGGAAATATGAGAAAAAAGAACAGAAATTAAATAGTGTTTGACAAATTTGTTTGTATTTATAACTATGATTTGCTTTATGGATCGAAAACGTAAAAAGAAAGGTAAACAATCATTAAATAAAACCGATTATATGCTGGTGAAGATGATAAAATTATGACTGGATGGAAATTTTCTGTTAGATAATTTGTCACGAATGAATATGAGATAAAAATTTAGAGAGAAATTAGTTTGAGAGTTTATATGTACACACATAATATTCACCATTCGGCAGGTTTTGAAACATAGAGATATTTTTCGACGTCCGATTATAGATGTAATCCTTGACCTTAAGGTGGTGTTTGACTCCGTTGATTTTCAGGTTTTGTGGCAGTGTTTTTCATTCAAAGGTGTACAAAACATGTACATCAACTTTGTACAGACTCTCTCTACTCGAACACTACTAGTCGATTCAGATTTTATGGTAAACTTTCATCGGAATCAGTTACTTCAAGTGGTGTTCGACAGAGTTGTCCGCTTTCCCCATTTTTATTTAACTTCGTTACAGATATGCTTTGAGGAATAACACTCTATAGATGTCCACGAAACATTGCTCGTGCATTTTGGGACCATACAGTAAGCAATGCCTGAGTTAGGAATAGAGTACTAAGTAAAGGTGGGAATTCGATTGATAAGGTAGTAAATCTTCATCAACTGAGGTGGTTGGGATATGTGTTACGTATGTCCAACCACTGCCTGTCTTGACTGGCTATGTTTTCTGGTGTAGGAACAGGTTGGAAGAAAGTTAGGGGCGGTCAAACCAAAACATGACATTAATTTCTGAAGTCGTTGACAATTGGACTTAGCCATATTCATAGCTGTAAACTACTTGATTGGGGTACGCGTGAATATCGTAACCGATAGTTAGAGACTATGAATGATATGACTCAAAATAGTTTGCAATGGTGCAGGCGCATCCGTCCTTTGTCTCCCCTAAAGTCTGAAATTCTAAATTCGACGGAGTCTATAACCCAACATAACTACTTTGTATTGCGCAGATTTATGGCACACATCAAATTGATCACCGCCTTATTTTTTCCACCTAGTCTTAGGGGAAGAGATCAGGGTCACTGTTGTTACTTAGGTCCCCGGAGTGGATGCTTGACTATCAGCTTTTATTATGCTCAAGCAATATCTTTTCGGCATAGATTACTTGTGACTGGATTTAAGTGCTTAACGGATCAATCTACACTTACAACCTGAAAAAACCTGCTCTATATCTTGTGAATCATTTGTTTACGTACATTTTGCATAATTTACGTAGCATAGCCCAGACAATACTTCATAGTCAAGTGATAGTAGGTTTACATTTCGATGATTGTTCAATTCTTTAAGATTTATTTGGATCTAAGTCTGAATTTCAGAGAGATATCTCCAGGTTGCATCAGAACTTAATGCTATCTAGAAACATTTCTTTATTCTCTACAAGGCTACAGAACATATTCTCTGTTATCTAACCGAAAAATACCCACATCGGTCAGTCAAATGATGCTTCACTGTGTCTAGACGCCAAACCTACACATCCAAGTGTCCAGCTAGCATTGAAATATCACAACGAATGTACCTTGGTGAAGCCATTCCGTTGGTGACAAAACTTATCCCTTGATTATACTCTAGATAAAGTCCATCTACATCATATATATGCGTTAAACTGGCTAGGAGATTTTTCAAACAGTGGGTGCCAACTTCTGATATTTTCTAAATGTTTGGGTACTATTTAAGATGAGTTAACATTTTTAGTCTAATCATTTTTCATACAGTCTTACTAGCGATTACAATTACAATTCTAAATAAACAGGATTATGAGAAGTAATGTAAAACTGGAAAAAATGAAACAGGTGTAGTGAAATAAAAGGCCCAAATGAATTTAAATGGTCTATCGTGTTTAGTTTACTAAATTGATAACACATTCACTGTACAACTTATCAAACGACAAAGCACTACTTTACAGTGAATAACCAATTCAATCATAAGTGGTTGTTAGCTTAAAAAACATACATACAATTAATCTTTCTAATCTGAAACACTAGTTAGATATTTTGTAAAAAAAATAGTGAAGAATAGTAATAACGTAGTGGATGTTAATCACATGAATGTTTGTAGATAATGTGTAGTTGAACGTGGCGTCGAAATTGCAACAGTTGTGAAGAATTTTAGTACATAGGAAGGACGGCGTTTGCATGACACTTGGAAACCAGACGAGAAAGCAGTTCAGATGGCAGAACATAACACAAGATACAAATGGAAGATTGAAGACTACGTGTATGTATTCGTGCGCTGTTACGGGTATGAGGGCTGATATCACTTCCCGGCTGCCCACACCGTGGAAGGGTATTCCTTGAGGAACCTCAAAAAGAAGTCGGATTAGTGTTGGTCTTAACGACCTGGGAGCGTGACCGCAGAGCACAAGGGACAACTGCTTGAGGCCGGTCGCGCACGGCCTTTTCGTGGAAGGTTTTTGATGTGTTAGCTCCGTTCTTCAAAGGGCATTACCGCCGGAAATCCATGAGGTAAGGTGAGGTGTGACATTTTTAGGGTCGAACTTTTCTAACCCCACCCCTCCTTGTGGGAAGGCAGCATCGCTGCAGATGCTGGTTGTCCGAGGGAAACACCTTACTGCAAAATCTACTTATTTATTTGTAGTAGTTAATGATGGTTTTTGTTTTTATAAGAAAACAGATTTTTTAACTCATTTAATCTCTTTTTACAAAAAGTAAAAAAACAAATATCTTGTTGATATATATATATATATATTACTTAATATTCAAATAAGATTCCAATGATTCATTAAACTCATTCTCTTCAGATAAATTCTAAACTTTAAGGTAGATAATAAAAAGGAATAGAAAAATTGATGTTGAAAGTTTAGTTATGTAACCAGCTTTTTGTATTTAAGCAAGATGCGATACTTGTTTCTTTATACTCTATCATGATAGGTAGCTTAGATAAAGAACACTAAGATAAAAAGGAACAAATATATAATTAGAGAACAAAGTGGAAATTCTGATTGTTCAGAGTTGTGATCATAGTAATAAGTTTTTCCATAACAACTAACATTTGTAGCTTTGTTGTCTTTTAACAACAGAATTACGGGGTTAGAATAGATTAGTTTTAAATATAATATACCTCAAATCAATTTGAATTTTTCTGTATGTATGAAATAATGTCATCTAAAACTACTCACAAACAGACCATTTGTAATCAACCGTAAGCAGTTGATATTTAAGCATTATAATCATTTCTCCAGATTTTTAAGACCATTTTTAACAAAGTTTCTATAATAGGTAATTCAATAAGAAATACTTTTCCACTGCTTAAGCGACTGCATAGTAACAACCGCTTTTATGTTCCTAACAGCATTTGTGATCAACATGTTCACAATCGATTTGAAAAAATCTCAACTAGTAGAATAGATTGTGTAATACGATAGTTATGATTGATGGTAAACAATTATATAGCACCTAATAGAATTATTTCAATCATTTTAATTTTTTAATTAACTACTGATTTGTTATCTTGAACCTGAATGTTTTAATTTCACCTTGATCAAAATTTATTACTACCAATTATGGTTAATAGACAGAAGAATGTTGTATGAAATTTCTGAAGTAGATAATTATAACACTGTTATAATTACGCATTGTTGGCCCGACCGAAGCTGCTACCTTGACGCGGTGGTCGGGCTTGCCTATCGTGATGACCCAACCGAGCTATATTGGCTGGAATATATGTTCCTGTAGCTTCTACCATGCCAGGCAGGTCGATCGGAGAACGGTAAGACTAAACGCAGCAACTCAAGGTCTGAGGGAGAAGTCGTACTGCTGACTGTAGAGAGGTGTGACAACAGTAGCGTCATTCATTTGACCTCACCATGCCAAAATAAAGAACCGACTTGATTCACACTTCGTGTATCTGGAAGCCCTGATTCTGCTTCCCGTGGCCTCGCCGGTGTAGGTATAGCATTGAGTTCTAGGGCAGAACTAGCTCTCTTAGAGTGGATCCCAGTAGACAGTCGTTTGTGCGCTGTCCGACTGAACGGAACAGTAAGAATCCGGAAAGATAGGGACACTCGTCGTTGCCTCTTCGTCGTCTCTGCCTATTCTCCCACTGACTGCAGCGCAGATGATGTAAAAGATGAGTTTTACAGAAAGCTCTCGGACCTTCTCTGAAAAGCTAGGCGCACTGATGTAGTAATAGTGGCTGGTGACTTTGATGCCCAAGTATGTAAACTAAGCGATAGGGAAAGACACCTGGGTGGGTCTAATAACATCGTGGCTCAACGAACAGATAATGGCGACCGTCTGTTGCAGCTATGCTCAGATAACCGCCTGTCCCTTGCAAATACTAACTTTAAGCATAAGGAAAAACATCTTTTAACATGGCGACCCCCTAATTCGTCCCAACGTTGGACCCAAATAGATCACATCGCTATCAGCCACCGATGGAGGGGCTCGATAGAAGACTGTCGCTCATTCTGGAGCACATGCCTAGATTCAGATCATGCTCTAGTGCAAGCGCGTATTTGCTTGCGTCTTACTGGACGTAGGAAAGACGCTGTAAGGAAACCTCTTAGGGGCCTACTTATTGATAGTCAGGCTAAGAGTATATTTCAGGAACAACTAGGAAAACAGTTAGGCAGCCATGTATGTGATGCCCACCCCGATGCAGCATGGAATGATATCCGAAAAGCTGTGGAAACAGCAGTGATATTTGCTAGTACGGTAACCCGTTAGGTTAGGGAGCAACATTGGATCTCAGCAGCATCTATCGCACTGATAGATGCTCGGAAACTCATTCCACCTGGCTCTGAACATAATGAAAAGCGGAGTCAGCTTAAGCGCAAGCTGACAAGAAGTCTACGCAATGACCGTGAACAGTGGTGGGTAGCGAAAGCAAGAGAGATGGAAAAGGCAGTGGCAATAGGTAATAGCAGACAATTGTTCAGACTCGTTAAGGAAACCGGAATTAGGAACCCGACCGTTAGCGAAACAATCTCAGAGAAAGATGGACATATTATTCATTCTCAATCCAGGAGATTGGATCGATAGGCAGAATACTTTAGGGATCAGTTCAACTGGTCTTCAGCCACACTTCGGTTACCCACGATCTCCAGTCAACCTGAATGGCAAGTTGATGTAGGTCCTCCGTCTCTTTACGAAGTTGAAAAAGCCATAGGAAATCTGAAACGAGGGAGAGCAGCAGGCCCTGACAGGTTTACTCCTGAGATTTTTAAGGATGGTGGTCCAGTATTAGCAGTGAGATTAACTGAGGTCTTAGGTAGAATTTGGGAACTGGACGTAATCCCATCTGACTGGTCTCAATCACTGATGGTGCCAGTCTATAAGAAAGGACAAAAGTCCTCTTGTGACAATCACAGAGGAATCAGTTTGACTAATATAGTGTCTAAAATATTAGCTTCAATAATACTTCGACGCCTAACTAAAGCTCGTGAAGAGCAGACTAGAGAAAATCAGGCTGGTTTTCGACCTGGACGTGGTTGTATAGATCAGATATTCACACTACGTCAGGTTCTAGAACACAGACACACATTCAGACGCCCCACAATGGTAGTATTTCTCGACCTTAAGGCGGCATTCGACTCTGTTGATCGTGAGGTTCTATGGCAGTGTTTGTCATTGAAAGGAGTACCAAAGAAGTACATTAACCTTATAAAGGCTCTCTACTCGAACACAACTGGTAGAGTGAGAGCTTATGGCGAACTGTCATCAGAACTGACTACCTCAAGTGATGTTCATCAGGGCTGCCCACTCTCCATTCTTGTTCAACTTTGTGGTCGACGTACTTTTAGAGATGACACTTTCCTCGTCTAGATTTCCAGGGGTTGAACTTCTACCGGGAGGTTCACTTGTTGACTTAGAATATGCGGATGACATGGTTTTATTTGGCGAAGACGCTGACAAAATGCAGAGTCTTCTGACCATTCTAAGCAACAATACAAGTATGTTCGGGATGCGATTCTCTCCCTCGAAATGCAAAATGTTGCTTCAGGATTGGGTTACATCGACACCCAAACTAGAGATAGGGAGTGAAGTAGTTGAGTGTGTCGACCGCTTCACTTATCTTGGAAGTCTCATCAGCCCTTGTGGTCTGGTGTGTGACGAAATCTCAGCACGGATACAGAAGGCTCGACTAGCTTTTGCCAACTTGCGTCATTTATGGCGTAGGCGAGACATCCATCTATCAACCAAAGGACGGGTTTACTGCGCAGCAGTTCGTTCCGTCCTACTTTACGGCAGTGAAACATGGCCGGTAAGAGTAGAGGATATTCGTAGGTTACTAGTATTCGATCATAGGTGTCTTCGAAACATTGCTCGTATATCACGGGACCATCGAGTAAGTAACGCAGTTGTTAGGAAACGGGTACTAGGTAAGGATGGCAAATCAATTGATGAAGTAGTGAAACTTCATCAGTTGAGATGGCTGGGACACGTGTTACGTATGCCCAACGACCGACTACCTCGACGTGCTATGTTCAGTGGTATAGGAGTAGGTTGGAAGAAAGCTAGAGGCGGCCAAACCAAAACATGGCACAAGTCCATGAAGTCATTGACAAGTGGACTGAGTCATGTTGGCAGGTGTAGACTACCTGGTTGGGGACCGCGAGATGATAGCAACCGATGGTTGGAGACCCTGAATGACATGGCTCAAAATCGTTTGCAATGGCGTAGGCGCATCCACTCTTTGTGTTCTCCCGAATTCTAATCTTCTGAATTCTTCATGTCCCTTTTTTCCCCTTTCCAAATTTATTTCACTGGATTATACTCCTTGAATAACATCTCCAAACCCTAATCTTCCCGATTACTGCTTATGCTCTTGTTACCTCTACCACTACGGGATTTGAATCGACAACTGCATCTCTGTGCTAAGGTGGTGTGGCAACTCGAACTGATGTACGTATGTACGAAGTTCTACGTTGTTACTGACTGACTGTCCCCTCTACAGTCAGCAGTACGACTTCTCCCTCAGACCTTGAGTTGCTGCGTTTAGTCTTACCGTTCTCCGATCGACCTGCCTGGCATGGTAGAACCTATAGGAACATATGTTCCAGCCAATATAGCTCGGTTGGGTCATCACGATAGGCAAGCCCGACCACCGCGTCAAGGTAGCAGCTTCCGTCGGGACGTATATGTATCATGTAAATATTTTGTAGCTTCTCGCAATAAACATACTTTTCTTCTGCCTATAGTTATGTTTTATAATAACACAATAGATTTTAAATCAATTGAACGTCACACAAAATGACCCAACGTTATGGAGGTTTTTTGTGATTCGACTAGAAGAAACTTTCGATTGTTAACATCAATGTATAAAATGCTAATCGATAGATGAACACAATAATATAATGTGATGAATGATGGCTACTGACGAGACCGCATTATTGACTTACGTCCCCGAATAATTATAAATCAAAGACAAGACTACTACTAGCCAGATAAACAGCTTTTTTCATTCAATAAAATAACACGCTTATATGAAAAAAAGAACACAAAATAAACATGATGAAATGCCATGGGTGATCGGAGGAAATTAGCTTTTAGGTCATTCATGCTCTAATCAATTACGACTTGACTGGTAGGCCTGTTTTCTGGACATTGTATCTCCAGAGAGGTGTCAAAAAAATTAAATGGGCAAATAGTTTGAAGCATACGTATTGATTACATCACCGACTGACCTTAGTTAGACAACCAGTCAAAACCAGAGAGCACCGGACAACTGTTTCGTTCTAGTATGAAACTTTTCAATAATGCACAATTAGGACCCACAAGTTTCACGGTGAGCGCTTGACTATTAGAGTTTAATGAGATGAAACTGAAAATTCAACCAGTTCACAATCGTCGTACTACATCACCTGCTCAGTGGTTCGCCGGTAAAACTGTAGGTCCTGAGTCAGATGTATAGTATAGTCGTGGATGCACAATGCGGAGGAGGATTATGCTACGACAGAACGGCTATTTACAGCTCTTTTTTCGGTGGTTGTCTAACCAAGGTCAGAACATGATGTGAACCATAAAATTAAGTGATATCCGAAAACTCCCTATACTAACACATATTAATTGATTATTTAAAAGAATTACCGTTTATCTTCCTCCAATTCATATACTTGTCGACGTAATTGTTTGATTTCTTCAGTACACATAGAATACCGACGTTCCAAGTCAATTACATACCTTTGACGTTTGGCACGACTAGCTTGAGCAGAAAGTTTATTACGAATTTTTCGTCTGACAGTACGTATTGCTTTTTCATTAGTTTGACTTAATGGAAATTTGATAGGTAGTTGACAACCGATTCTTTGGAGCATTTTATATTCTTCTGAAGTTAATTTAACGCATTCTCCCTGTGAAATGAATAAGTATGGATAAGAATTGTCATAAATAACTACGCAATAGGTCAAATGATAGCCAAGTTGACAACAAAATGAGTTATTTAAGAAATCGTTCGTAGCAAGTGATAGAACAAACGAGTGACTAATATTAGAGAAACAAAACATTTAACAAGGTCGTGAATCTATGCCGACTGATAAGACTGATGAATGTGCTACGCATACACTTCAACGGATTATTCTAATGTGCAGTGTTTGCTGAACTGATAGTATTAGTAGTGGAATTAAACCTACGAAGATAATCAACTTAAAAGAGTCTAAATAGATTCGAAGTAATAACATAACTCAGATTAAGAGAAAATAAGAGTTGAAATGTCTACTTGGAAATGGAATTAGCGTTGCGATAAGTTCCATTAGCTTGGAACTGCAAAAAGACAAAATGATACAGGGCTTGGCCAAGTAACATTATTAAAAATTTAATCAAATCGTATTGCCTCACATATTAATAGAAAAAAAACAGTAAGATATGTGTTACGCTTTACGAACCACTATCTACCTTACAATGGAATGATGGCTGGTTGGTTCACGAGCAGATTGTAATAAAACTGGCAGTAGTCAAACCAAGACTTTGTATTCGTCCATGAAATAATTAACTGTTGGTCTAACCTATGCTATCAGATGAACATTACCTGATTGAAGTCCTTGTTATAACATTGACCAGAAGTTGGAGAAAAGTTAAATGGCTCGTAATCAGTAACAATGACAAAGGTGCACTATTTGTTTTGTTAGAGACCTTTAGTCATAACATAATTTTATACTTTATATTCAACAAATTCATTCCTTATTTTTAATCACATTTTTAGTATTTAACCTTTCATCCTGTTCCTGATAGTACTACGATTTTGACTAATTTGCTATTTATCTTCTTAATAAAAATCTGATTGCACTAATCCCAAGTACAACGGCTTATATCCATGCATATTCGTACCTGTTTCTGACTGACAAACTTATTGTATCTCTGCTCATATGAAAAAAAATTAAACACTGAATGAGAAATAAAACAAACAAACGAACAAACTCGAATACTCACAGGTTTACCATTTAGTAAATCTTCATTATTTAGACAAATTATTTTATTAGTTTTATAAGAATCATTCATATCACACTCATTATTAATTTCCATTGAATTCAACAATTGATGACAATTATGATGGTTATTGACAGAACTTGAAGAACTATGAGCTGATGATGATGAATATAAAAGTTCTTGTTGTTGAATAGTTTTCTCTTGATATGAAAACTTTGGTATTGGATTAAAATGATTCATCAAAGATTTTCTTTGACAATTGGTAAACTTCACTTTCTCATTTTTAATTTGTTTAGATTTTGAAAAATTACCAGGATTAATATCGTCCAGAGATACTAATTCATTGGAGTCGGGTAATAAATCTGTCCAATTAAAATCTGGAGTATCTAAATCTTTATTCAATAATTCTAACGGAAGTGTATTAGTGTCTAATTCAAATGAGAATAGATAATCAGCTTCTTTATTTAATCCTAAATCTAAGGGAAAAAATTATAATAGTTACTCGATATGATGAGTAAGGAATTGTTTTGAGTGAGATTAATGATTATTCAGTAAATTAATGATTAAATTAAAAAATATACCAAGGTAAAAAGGAGAGAAAACAAACACATGTTAAAAAATAAATAATATAATATGGATGCGTATCAAAGACAATGAACCAAGTTTGTTTTCCCTTCCTTATCTTCCTAAATTCTTCGGATTGACAATTATGCTTTAAATTTCTATTTGATATTGATTAATTAATGAAAAGCCCTACTCGGTCTAATGTATTTAAATATGACTAGTGATCAGTGTAAGTCATATAAAAATCAGTGTATTCAGATGACATTCCGATTTATTTTGGTTGTCAAACACATCTCTATCTATGGCCTTAGTGTTCATACTTGCGTCATCCGATTCGAATTTTTCAGTAGCATCTAGTTATATATATATATTACAGGTGCATCTTGCTGATGAGTGCCAAATAGCACGAAACCTAGATCCAGGGTTTTCTGTCGACCACCTCCAAACATCATCGCATCTCAACATAATCCACGAAATGTCAAGTCACCTAGGCTAGTAGATGCATTGCAACTTGGTCGATAGAACTCTTTAGTAAAAGGCAAAAGATTTATCCGCCCCCAAATGCCCTGATATGGCCGAGAGTGGGGAGAGTCCGCTCTCCCTCTTGAAATGCTCTCACATGGCCACGCGTATACAGCCTCTGTCAGAGAAGTCCTACTCACTGCCTTCTCGTGACGTAGGAGTTGTTTACGAAAATGAGAGGACGAAAAGCGAATGTCCGGCGCTTTAACCGGATCTTAAACCAATGGTGCACATGGACTCCAGTATCCTGCGGAAACAAATGGCGTATGAACCAATCATTGGTCACCGGCTACCATGGGACTGCATCTCCTCACGATGCTCCACTGCCTTGTGGGTCAGAACTTTAGGTCAAAGGCTCGGGGTGTGGCCCCCTAAGAAAACCACCTGCTTATATCTGGGCACCCGGGCAGTATCACAGCCCACACACAGATATGATGAAATATCGACATTTATGGAAAATACTTGTCTTGCTTCGATCAACAATCAAACGACTCACATTATTATTATTGTCGTTATTATTATTATTATTATTATTATTATTATTTACTAAGTCATTTATTCAACTCCGCCTGGAGTCCCTCCGGGGGCTACTGCCGGTCCCAAGCCCGGATAAAGGAGGAGGGTTGGGCATGGGGTTAGCGTCCCCATCCCATAGAAAACTAACTCGCTAAAAAAACGCTAACCAGAAAAAATTATTCAAACCTTTTAAACTCTGCCCTGGGAGTCAGAAGATCTTCATTTAGAAGAATTATGACGCCTCATGATGAAAGCCGAATTCCTTCGGAAGTTACGAGGCCGATGCCCCTTCTGACAACCAGAGCGACCATTTATTTAGGTACATGGAATGTTCGTACAATGTGGGACACCGGAAGAGCCTTCCAGATTGCTGCAGAAAGGAGAAGATACAACCTAGAGGTACTTGGGATCAGTGAAACACATTGGACACAAGTTGGACAACAACGACTAACTTCAGGAGAGCTCCTGTTATACTCCGGCCATGAAGAAGAAAATGCACCACATACACAAGGAGTTGCATTGATGCTGTCCAAACAAGCGCAAAATGCACTTATAGGATGGGAATCTCATGGACCAAGGATCATCAAAACCTCCTTCAAAACAAAGAAAGAGGCCATTTCAATGAACATCATCCAATGCTATGCGCCTACCAACGACTACAATGAAGAAGCTAAAGATCAATTCTACAATAGGCTGCAGTCAATAATCGAGAAGTGCCCAACAAAGGACCTGACCATTCTGATGGGAGATTTCAACGCCAAGGTTGGAACGGACAACACTGGATATGAAGACATCATGGGACGACACGGACTGGGAGAAAGAAACGAAAATGGTGAGAGATTTGCAAATCTATGTGCCTTCAATAAACTGGTCATAGGCGGCACCATATTCCCACATAAACGCATACACAAAACCACATGGACTTCACCGGATCACTCTACACAAAACCAAATCGACCATATTTGCATCAACAAAACGTTCAGGAGAACGATGGAGGATGTGAGAACCAAGAGAGGAGCTGATATAGCATCAGATCATCACTTGCTGGTCGCCAAGATGAAATTGAAACTCAAGAAGCACTGGACAATGGGGCGGACAATATCACAAAAGTTCAATACGGCCTTTCTTCAGGATACTAACAAACTCAACAAATTCAAGATAGTCCTCAGCAACAAGTTCCAGGCCTTTCATGATCTACTCAATGGAGAAGGAACTACTGTGGAGAGCAACTGGAAGGGGATCAAAGAGGCAATCACTTCAACATGTCATGAGGTCCTGGGCCACAAGAAGCACCATCACAAGGAATGGATCACTGTTGATACACTGGATAAGATTCAAGAAAGGAGGAACAAGAAAGCAGCAATCAATACCAGTTGAACAAGAGCAGAGAGAGCCAAGGCACAAGCTGAATACACAGAAGTAAACAAACAAGTGAAGAGGAGCATCAGAACCGACAAACGTAAATATGTGGAAGATTTAGCAACGACGGCGGAAAAGGCTGCAAGAGAAGGAAACATGAGACAATTGTATGACACGACAAAGAAACTCTCTGGAAATCGCCGCAAACCAGAACGACCAGTGAAAAGCAAGGAAGGCGAGGTAATCACCAACATTGAGGAGCAACAAAACAGGTGGGTAGAACACTTCAAAGAACTCTTGAATCGACCAGCTCCACTGAACCCACCCAACATCGAAGCAGCACCCACGGACCTCCCAATCAATGTTGGCCCACCAACAATTGAAGAAATCAGCATGGCCATCAGACAAATCAAGAGTGGCAAAGCAGCAGGACCGGACAACATTCCAGCAGAGACACTAAAAGCAGACGTAGCGGCAACTGCAAGGATACTCCACATTCTCTTCAATAAGATTAGGGATGAGGAACAAGTACCAACAGACTGGAAAGAAGGACTCCTGATCAAAATACCGAAGAAAGGCTATCTCAGCAAGTGTGATAACTACAGGGGCATCACTCTTCTCTCAATACCGGGAAAAGTCTTCAACAGGGTATTGTTAAACAGGATGAAGGACTGCGTAGACGCCCAACTTCGTGACCAACAGGCAGGATTCCGTAAGGATAGATCGTGTACAGACCAAATCGCAACTCTACGGATCATTGTGGAACAATCAATTGAATAGAATTCATCACTCTACATCAACTTCATTGACTACGAAAAGGCATTTGATAGCGTGGACAGAACAACACTATGGAAACTTCTTCGACACTACGGCGTGCCTCAGAAGATAGTCAATATCATACAGAACTCATATGATGGATTACACTGCAAAATCGTGCATGGAGGACAGTTGACAAAGTCGTTCAAAGTGAAGACCGGTGTTAGGCAAGGTTGCTTACTCTCACCCTTTCTCTTTCTCCTGGTGATCGACTGGATCATGAAGACGTCAACGTCTGACGGAAAGCGCGGGATACAATGGACATCTAAGATGCAGTTGGATGATCTAGACTTCGCAGACGATCTGGCCCTTCTATCCCAAACGCAACAACAGATGCAGGAGAAGACAAACAGTGTGGCAGCAGCCTCAGCAGCAATAGGTCTCAATATACACAAAGGGAAAAGCAGGATTCTCCGATACAACACAGAATGCACCAATCCAATCACAATTGACGGAGAAGATTTGGAAGATGTAAAAACCTTTACGCATTTGGGCAGCATCATTGATGAACAGGGTGGATCTGATGCAGATGTGAAGGCGCGGATCGGCAAAGCAAGAGCAGCATATTTACAACTGAGGAACATCTGGAACTCAAAGCAACTGTCAACCAACACCAAGGTCAGGATTTTCAACACAAATGTCAAGACAGTTCTACTGTATGGGGCAGAAACCTGGAGAACTACGAAAGCCATCATCCAGAAAATACAGGTGTTTATTAACAATTGTCTACGCAAAATACTTCAGATCCATTGGCCGGACACTATTAGCAACAACGTACTGTGGGAGAGAACAAACCAGATCCCAGTGGAGGAAGAAATCAGGAAGAAGCGCTGGAAGTGGATAGGACACACATTGAGGAAAGCACCCAACTGCGTCACAAGACAAGCCCTCACATGGAATCCTGAAGGTCAAAGGAAAAGAGGAAGACCAAAGAAATGGAGAAATGGAGATAGACATGAGAAAAATGAACAAGAATTGGATGGAACTAGAAAAGAAGGCCCAGGACAGAGTGGGTTGCAGAATGCTGGTCAGCGGCCTATGCTCCATTGGGGGTAACAGGCGTAAGTAAGTGAGTAAGTCATTTATTCACTCTCTTTTATTCCCACTCTGTCTATCTTTACTTTTCGACTTATACAGCAGCTCGCCTATAGTGGAAACTCGGTTCTATCTAAACGTTCTCGAGTCACTGTCCGGTTGAAAATTGCATGTTACCACCGAATATGAGTACTGAAGCAGTTTTCCTGAAACCACGTGCACCATTCAAACTCGCTGCCTTCAACGTTCGAACACTTATGCAGGTCGGACAACAGATAGGGCTAGCTATTTCTTTGAAAAGTATTAATATCGACGTTTGCTGTCTATCCGAGACCCGTATTCAAGACTCTGGTGAATTACTACAAATTCGATCTCCATCTGTCGCTTCGAAAAGCTTGTTTTACGTGCGTTTATCCAGGGACCCTGTCGCATCTTCGTCTGGTTTTGCTGGTGTCGTTGTCACACTAAACGCTAGAGCTGAGGCAGCACTAGTCGATTGGATCCCCATTAACAGTCGGTTATGTGCTGTTAGATTACAAAGTTCGATCAAAGTGAGAAAAAATCGGCGTGAGAAACGATGTCTTTTCGTCATCTCCGCCTATGCCCCGACAGGTTGCAGCCCGGATGCAATCAAGGATGAATTCTGCCACCAGTTAACTGTTCTCCAGAAAGTGCGTTCGACAAATATTGCAGTACTAGCCGGAGACTTGAATGCTCAGGTCGGGCGTCTAGGCACAGAAGAGAGTCGTTTAGGTGGCCGATGGGGACTTGTTAGTCGCAGGACAGATAACGGGGACCGTCTACTGCAACTGTGCACAGACCATAACCTGTTTCCGGCTAGAACTACCTTCCGACACAGTCATCACCGATGTTACACCTGGCGTCCTCCCTCTGCATCTCAAGCCTGGACTCAGATTGATCACATCGCGATCAGCTACCGCTGGCGTGGTTGTGTACAAGACTGCCGCTCGTTTTGGAGTACCTATCTGGACTCTGACCATGCCTTGGTCTGCGCCAATCTTGCCTTACTTTTCAGTGGCCAACGAAGTGACCGCCACCAAAGGATTGATGTCAGCAAGTTGGTTGCAACTTCTGCTGCAAGTAAGTATCGAATCGAGCTAGCTTTTAGGCTAGCTACCATTCCATCGAAAAGCATGGGTCAGCAGTGGTTGTAATTGCATAACGCCATGAAAATGGCGGGTACAGTCAGTTGTGGGTTTGCGAAACGTCCCGCTTATAAGCACTGGGTTTCTACAGGCTCCTTACAACTCATCGAAGCCCGTCGGTCTACTCCGAGAGACTGTGAGTTTGACCACAAACGAAGGATGTTACGTAATCAAATCGGGCAAAGCTTGCATAAGGACCGAGAAGCCTGGTGGTCGGAGCGTGCTAATGAGCTGGAAGCAGCAGCTGCATCTGGTAACTACCGGAAGCTCTTCCAATTCATCCGAACCACTGGCAGCAAGAAGTCTGGTGTGAGCAAAGCAATCTGCGAGGATGACGGGATGCCAATCACTAACATCCATCGACGTCTTGGACGATGGGCAGAATTTTTCGAAGGGCAGTTCAACTGGCCTGCTGCTCCGGCAACATCGGTCAGACTGTCCTGCCCTCCATGGCCGGTGACGACTGATCCACCAAACGAGGAGGAAGTCCGCAAGGAACTCCAACTCTTGAAACGCTACAAATCACCGGGCCCAGATGACTTACCTCCGGCTCTTTTTAAAGATGGTGGTGACTTTTTGACTAAGGAATTGACGACGTTGTTTACAAAGGTCTGAGAACTAGAGAGTGTACCAACGTCATGGAGTGAGTCGATAGTTGTCTCTATCTTTAAAAAGGGTTCACTTCGTTCCTGTAACAACTATCGGGGGATAAGTCTACTTCCGATTGCGTCCAAGCTATTGGCTTCCGTCATACTTCGTAGACTGTTCAAAACCCGAGAAAGATTGACTCGCGAGGAGCAGGCTGGGTTTCGTTCTGGTTGAGGATGTATTGATCATATTTCACCCTCCGCCAAATGTTAGAACACCGCCATACTTATCAAAGGCCAACAATCGTAGTGTTTCTTGACATCAGGGCTGCCTTTGATTCGTTGGACAGGACTGTTCTTTGGGATTGTCTATTGAAAAAGGGTGTGCCTGAGAAGTTTATTAACATTTTAAAGGCCCTGTATACAAATACCTCAGGCAGAGTGAGAGCATACAACCACCTCTCTCCATTGTTCCATTCGAGCAGTGGGGTTAGGCAGGGTTGCTCAATCTCACCATTCCTCTTCAACTTTGCCATCGATGACATTCTGGAAACAGCTCTGATGAGTGTAAGTAATGGTGGTGTGGATCTGTTGCCTGGAGAAAGACTTCTCGACCTTGAGTATGCGGACGATATTGTCTTACTGTGCGATAATGCCCAAGGCATGCAATCCGCACTTAATCAGTTGGCAATCAGTGTCCGTAGGTATGGTATGTGCTTTGCACCTTCGAAGTGCAAAGTACTTCTACAAGACTGGCAGGATCCTAATCATGTACTCACCCTGGATGGTGAGCAGATAGAAGTAGTCGAGAAGTTCGTGTATCTGGGTAGCTGCATAAGTGCTGGTGGGGGTGTGAGTGATGAGATCAATGCACGTATAGTGAAAGCCAGAGCGGCTTATGCCAATCTGGGCCACCTTTGGCGCCTTCGTGATGTTAGTCTGGCTGCAAAAGGTCGGATTTACAACGCGTCAGTGAGAGCAGTTCTGCTCTACGCTTGTGAAACCTGGCCTCTCCGAGTTGAGGACCTGAGACGACTCTGTGTTTGATCATCATTGTCTCCGAAGGATAGCTGACATCCAGTGGCAACACCATGTTAGTAATGCAGAGGTTCGGCATCGTGTGTTCGGGCACAGAGATGATAATGCCATTGGTGTCACCATCTTGAAACATCGACTTCGGTGGCTTGGACATGTTCTACGAATGTCGTCCCAGAGAATTCCACGTCGTGCATTATTTGTTGACGCTGAGACTGGTTGGAAAAAGCGGAGAGGTGGTCAGTGTATGAAAGAAAGCTGCAAAGGGCTGGCTTATGTTGGTCCATCACGACTCCCTGGCTGGGGTCCTAGAGATGGTGTGACACAGTGGCTAGAGACGTTACCAGATATGGCTCAGAATAGAAGCCAGTGGTGATCCTGCTGTACCCTTCTTTCACGTTCTTCATTAAAAAAGTGGTTGTATCTTCCTTAAGTGAAAGACTTCTTCTGGTTGTACCTATCCGTTTCCCCATTATTATTGTTATTGTTATTATTACACTACCTTACACTAATCTGTTCGTTATTGTTTTTTTCTCTTCGAATTCTCATTGTTTTGTGTGGCGCATATATATTTGGTGCCCTCTTGTTCCAATATTTATGTGTTCAAATAAATAAATAATAAATACGATAGAACTCGATCTGAACTACGAAGGACCTTACATACATGACATTGATCACTAATAAGTGATCAAACAATTGTAAAGACATGAAATACTGAATGACATTGGAAGAAAGCTACGACAGTTTTCATAGCCGCTAAGATTTGGAAACCCAATTTTAATAATCTTTTCAAGTCGTTGGATTATGAGTAGCTAGAGGCCAAATGGACTATCCGTCAATCTTTTGTCATTTTAATCGTCCAGATTAAAAACGGATTACTGTTGTCGTTTTCCATCATAGTTTCACTAACGGATATTTTAACCCTAGTCTATTTGATGGATTTAAACAATGCCGGATTTTTCGTCCCCTTTGATTTTTTCACTTGAGATCGCTGTACAAATACCTCTACACTTAAGTTACTTTCGATGTCCATCATATTCGAAGCTCAGTAGAGTGAGTTTTTGAGTATTTATATTAATTAAGTACAATTTTCTGGCCTTTCGGTCTACGTCGATTATAGAAACCATTGGTTTCTTGCCTATAGATTATGTCATGGTATCTTACTGTGAAAATTACTTTCATGTTCACTAGGTACTTTGTTAGTTTTGCTTTAAATTTACTCCCTTGGATTTCAAATCCAAACTCAGTTGAATAAGCCTGTTTACTGCGACCTTTATGAATCCAGTAAGGTCTAGACATGCATTTTTATTGTTGCAAGTCCAGAATCCAAAGGTAAACTCCAGAAAATTAATCCTTTACTGATGTTCTCCAAAAATAACTGATAAAAACAAGATTCATCTGAGTTCATTGTTGAGTCAAAGTTAGGGACTATTAAGTCAGTATTTTAACTATGCTTGGAGTTAGTACCTGCCGTAAATAAAAGGTTATCACGGTACATTTGAATCACACGGTAACATTTATCTGTTGAACAGTTTTGAACTTAAAACAATATTTAATTTATGTATCGTTCTGTCTGGATTAACCTATCCACCAACGCGTTAATACCAAACAAAAAAGAAATCCCAATATAAACAGTTTGAATATAGTTCAATACGTACCGAGATTTGAATTAGTAGTAGCTGTCTCAGTTACTGAATCACCATTCAATAAACGATTGCCAGATGAATGGTCTGTCTCAACGATTTCTTGGTGATCTAACTGCAATATTGTTGGTGATACAGCATAATAATCAATTTCATCCCCATATGAAAAATCTGGCAAGTTAAATTTCTTTATTGACATTGTTTCAGGAATTTTGAGCATGTTACGTCAATCAGCACTAAAGAATAAAATAAGATCATCCGTTTTGCTCAACCACGTACCATTAATTTTGGGATAGGAGAGTTAATCAAGTGCCTATAGGACATTTTGTTATTATGGACAGTAACTTTGTTTGTTTGAGTCCATGTTTTCCTTTTCCATTTGAACAAGAACAGAGGTCGAGTTTACTCTTTAGAAGGTAACAGATTGAAAGTCAGAAGAAAATGACAAGCTGAAATAATAATAATAATAATAATAATAATAATAAAGACAGATGGTGAATTCTCCCAGAGAACTCAGTTACCTAAAATATACATTTACCGTCTACAAAGTACTGAAAATAATCTACATACATATATCATCGATTTTAATGGAGGTGACTGTAATAAGAAGGATCTGTTGTATTCAAAGAGCAATCATACTATTCATGTAAATGAAAATGTCGTGAAGTAAATAAATAGCTTGAGAGATGGGAATTTTAACTATCTAAATGGATTAGCAGAATGAAAAATGAGGCTTTAAAAGTTACAATTCAGTGAGTTAACAATCGAGGGAGTAAACTATGTTCGTAACTAGCTTATAGATGAGTACAAACGATCTATTAGTAAATACATGACCAGGTGTAAATTCCCAAAGGGAATGTTACAGAAATCCTAGGAATAACATGCTCAGACTTATTCGGTGGAACATATGATTTGTTTAAACAGAAAAAAGTATATTGGGATATCTAACTGTTTGAGGGATAATGCATCACTACGAACGTATAAAATTCATTCTGTTCACATAAAGGTTAAATCAACCTGTTAGTTAACTATCTAGGTCACTCTAACACTGTATTTAGTACTAACATAACGTTTTATTTAGTACTAAGGTAATGCCCCTTAGTAAATACTTCAATTAGCTAGTAACATTAACTTATCAAACGATCTCTACGATAGTGACAGAGTATTATTACGTATGAAATTATTGGCCACCAATGACTTCGTTACAGCTGAACACATAACCACTGAAAAATCTCAACGATATAATCGTTTCAATTTAGGGGATATTCTAGGAGTTTGTAGTTGTTTATGCTATTATCAAAAAACAGGTGCCATTGGTTGCAAGGTAGTGGCTTTTAGTGATCAGCTTTGACTTTGCAAAGATGGTCTGAGTGTGGTATCACAAATTGCATGAATAGTAATACATGATTGTGCCAATTTATGGCCACACAAAATACTTTCTTTATGAGCGAATCTAGCGAATATACGAGCTATGTTTGTTATTTATAGAGCAATTTATTTTGGGGATTTATTTACCGCTACAAGCTACCTGTTGTCCAGACACACAATAACTTGGGAGTTATCGTTAGTCAAAACTACTGAACATCGCAGTGCGATTTATGTCAAAGGTTTTAGAAATCTATGGTCAATACGTAAGGCGTTTAATCATGCCGACTTTTTAACTTTGTATAGTGTTCGTGTGACCCAAAACTTGAGTACTGCATACAAGCGGCTATCCCCTACTTAAAAAAGACACTGAGCTTTTTGAAAGAGTTTCGAGGACAACAACTGGGCTGGTTTCCGGAATAGCGAAGCTCATGTATGATGCTCGACTGGCTGAAATAAACCTATTCCCATTGTCCGCGAGACTAATTTAGGGACGACCTTTGAACGAATCTTAAATGACCTTGGCAATTATTAACCAATCAGAAGACAGTATAAAGTATAAATATAGTATAAGAAAGTAATGAATTACAGTGAATATTCTTCTTTTACATGATATAAAAACTTGTTAAGGTTTGATAAAGGTTCAGAGGTCCTGAATTCATAATGCATATGGTATAGAAACTCGTCCATAGGGTTAGGGTTAAGGTTAGGGTGCTAATATACGATCGGTTTACAACGGATTTTAGAGAAGAGGTGTTTATCGAGAGGCTACAACACTAACCCTAACGCTAACCAAACCCTAACCCTAACCCTATGGACGAGTTTCTATACCATATGCATTGTGAATTCAGAACCTCTGAACCTTTATCAAACCTTAACAAGTTTTTAAATCATGTAAAAGAAGAATATTCACTGTAATTCATTACTTTCTTATACTATATTTCTACTTTATACTGTCTTCTGATTGGCTAATAATCGAAATTGCTCAAACGCTTCTGATTGACTCGTCCCTAAATTAGAGTCTCGCCGTCCTCATTTTTCTTGTCTTCTAAAATAGAGAATTTACGAGGACACTCCAAAAAAGTTCATAAGCCCAGAACAAATTACTTGCCACCTGACTATCACCAACAAGTGGAATTTATTAACTCAACATGTGATTGAAGCTCCATCTGTCGACACTTTCGATGGGAAGTTGGGTCAACTGAGAGGCCGTAATTGCCAGGACTAACACAGGCCACCAAGTCTCCTGTCCTTTCCAAAATAAAACTATAGTTTCAGTTTGTATACAAATTTTACACGATCTTTCAAAAGACATACTTATTATGGCCCCTTTTCATTAACTACATTCTAACCTGCGTTTTTTTGTTCTGACATTTTCAAAAAGTAATCTAAGTCAATGAATTTAACATTTCGATATAAGGGAATTTCTATTTTTTCCTGACATGATTAAATTTTAACACTGGTACTATACGCGGGACACGAATAAACTTTTAAGTATACAAAGTCAGCATATGTTTAGGGGATTTACATTTTTTTAAAAGACTGCCATACTTCTATTCATCCAAGTAATAGTTTTCAGCTGAGAGCGCTTTGAGGTCATTTCAAGGGCATAGATGTGGTGGCTTCATTTTCCACATATCTGAATGCATTGTTAAAGTTTTAATTCTTGGAAATTTAATTTGTTTGTACGTACTTTGAAAACTTGAGAATACTTCTTTTCTTTCTTACAATTGTTGACTTACTTTGGTGCTTGGTTTGAATCATGCACGCTTTAAGCAACTCCAAATCCTGATCACACCATATCATGGACTTCTGTTGTCGTAAATTCAGTTACTATTAATACCACACTATCAGTCTTGAGAGATTTTCGCGGAGAAAGGATCAAAGTTCCTGTGTACTGTACTTAGGGTCAGAAATTCTGTCAGTAAAATTGACTCTAAGGTAGGTCTCGGTCCCATGAAGACTCAAGCTAAAATGGTTCAAATGGTTCTGGATGGAATAGAAGAAGCCTCAGCTCATAGCCTTGACGTAATTGTTAACAGTGGATCTCGATGCCGCCAGGTAAGGACCGAGATATATTTAACGACAAAAGGGAAAAAATTGTTGATTATAGCAAGAAACTGTCCTTAGTCCTTAAGTATATGTCAAGGTTTTTCTTGAAGGACTCCTGGGAAGTAGCTTGGACGATCTGAGATGGCATTGAATCTCATAAATTGACTACTCTTGAGGAGTATAATGTGTGCTTTTAGTTTGTTCTGCTATGTTGTGTCCACAGTTTCTGAGTGTCACTCCTGAGATGTTTGTTGGGAGTGAGCTTAAGTAGGTATTTAGGGAGACATCCAATGACATTTAGGATTTTGTACGCCGTCAGAAGGTCACCTCTGAGACGACTATACTCTAATGGGTGTAGGTTCGTTGATTATGGACGCTCTTCATAAGTTATGCGTTTCAGCCTCATAACTGGTTTCGTGGTTTGCCTTTGGATACATTCTAATGTATTCTTATCTCTTTGGATTGATAGAGAAAACGCTATAGAGGTGGGCTGCCTAAGTTGTATTTGTAGTCTTCGACATGTCTCAGATGTATTACTTAACACTTTGAAATGCTGAAGGTAATTTCGTTGTTGTCTGCCCGATTTTGAGGTTGAGTCAGATCCTCCCCTTGGTCGCAAAGCTCTCTCCAGAGTTTCATATCATCAGCAAAAGGTGTCGAATTTCACGATACTTGATGAAGAAGGTCATTTATATAAACCAAGAGAAGAGCCATTGGTGTCGAACCACACCAAGATATTCTGTTGAGTGAGAAAAAGTTAGGTTTACCCGGAGCTTAAAAAACCGATTATTTAAATATAAAATAAAACCAATCAACTAATGACGGCTCGATACGTAATCGTTTGAGCCTATTTGTAAGAAGTATGATCGGTCTCATCAAAAGCTTTTGGAAAATCAGTGTGTATGACGTCAGTCTTCTCTTCGAAATCGAAGTGTTGTCCATCTGTCCACCACGGTGAGCAGGTTGGTTATACAAGAGCGACACTTACTGAAACCGTGCTGTTCGGGTGCAAGGGAGTTTATGGGTTGTGAGTGGTCACGTAGACGTCGCAAATCACAGACTCCATAATCTTTGAGGGTATTGAGAGTGGTGCTACCAGTCGGTAACTTGAAAGTTCGCTACATAGACGTCCTTTGAAAATTGGTGGTATTTACTATAAGACTCAGTATGACAATATTATGATCATCACCTGGAAACGGTTTTCCAATATACATGGTGTTAGGGGTGAGGCCACCGGTAAAAACTAAGTCCAAGATATTTTGATGTCTGGTAAGGTTACAGACATAATGGATCCACTGTCTAAGCTCTAGACATTCAGTAAAATGTTCATAACCTATCGGCGCCTTGACCGAAAACCAGTAACTTTCGGTCATGTTGAAGTCACCACTAATTAGCTTGCCTGTGAATGGAAGGGATCATGCTAGTGTGAATACCTCTGACAATTTCTCTATATCAGCTACTGGTGCGTTAGGTGGACGGTAGACACAACTGAACATAAGGGAATGAAATTCGAAGGCCTGAAAACAATTCACACTGGGTTCTGCAGCTTGCTTAGTTAAGGCATATCACATAATACTGAGTTTAAAACCTCCGCTTCATTCTTTAAGTCTATCACTTCTATATAGGAAATAGTTATCAATAGATATATTTAGGTCGGAAATTATTATTATTATTATTCACAAACATCTCATGGGCACATAAGTGTTGTGAAGAAACCATTTCGGGTTTCTTCAAGAATGCAATAATACACAAGTTTCAATAATATTAGCATTATATTTGCCATGTTTGAAAAAAGAGAGTAATAATTGAATAATAATAAATCAGGTTATGTGTAATTGAGAAGAATATTGAATTGAGTTTAAAGAAGTGAAGATAGAAAATAAGGAAATAGAAATAAAAGAGACGTGAAATATGCAAATAGTTTAATAAGCGTGTTTATGAACACAGAACAAGAATAAATTAATGACAAAACTGAAATAGAAAATAAGTAAGAAAAAATAACGTATTATTGTAGTAAGATATGACGCCAGAATAAATGTTTGTGCATGACAGTTTAACTCCGCCAGCACCTCTTCTAGAGTTACCGCCGGTCTCAAGCCCGTATAAAGGAGGAGGGTTGGGCATGGGGTTAGCGTCCCAATCCCGTAGAAAACTAACTCGCCAAAAAAACGCTTACCAGGAAAAATAATTCAAACCATCTAAACTCTACCCTGAGAGTTAGAAGATCGTCATTTAGAAGAATTATGAAGCTTCATGGTGAAAGCCAAGTTCCTTAGGAAGCCACGAGGACGATGCCCATTCTAACAACCAGAGCAAAAGGTTTTAAAGGTACATGGAACGTCCGAACAATGTGGGAGACCAGGAAGACCAGTCAAATAGCAACCGAAATGAAGAGATACAATTTGGCAGTACTGGGAATCAGCGAAACCCATTGGACCCAAGCTGGACAGAAAAGGCTAGCTACGAGGGAGATGCTGCTATATTCCGGTCACGAAGAGGAAAATGCTCCACACACTGGGAGTTGCTCTAATGCTGTCCAAAGTAGCACGAAATACACTTGTAGGATGGGAATCTCACGGATCCAGAATCATCAAAGCGTCATTCAAAATAAAGGAGGAGGGGATCTTAATGAATATTATTCAATGTTATGCACCCACCAATGATAGCAACGACGACATTAAAGATCAATTCTATGTGAGGCTGCAGTCAATTATTGAGAAATGCCCAAGAAAGGACCCCACCATTCTTATGGGAGATCTAAACGCCAAAGTCGGAATACACAACACCGAATATGAAGATATTATGGGATGACATGGACTGGGAGAGAGAAACGAAAGCGAGGAAAGATTTGCAAATCTATGTGCATTCAATAAATTAGTCATAGGCAGCACAATATTTCCTCACAAACGTATACATAAATCTACATGGATCTCACCGGACCACATTATAGAGAACCAGATAGATCACATTTGCATCAATAAGAAGTTCCGAAGGACAATGGAAGATGTGAGAACCAAGAGAGGTGCTGATATAGCTTCAGATCACCACCTAGCTGTGGCCAACTTAAAACTGAAGCTAAAGAAGAACTGAACAACTGGACAAACAGCACTACAAAGATTCAATACTGCCTTCCTTCGAGATACTCACAAACTCAATAAATTAAAGATAGCTCTCAACAACAAGTTTCAAGTCTTACAGGATCTACTGAAGGAAGAAGAAACTACTATGGAGGGCAACTGGAAAAGTATCAAAGAAGCATTAACTTCAACGTGTCAAGAGGTTCTGGGCCTTAAGAAGCATCATCATAAGGAATTGATCTCTATAGAAACAGTGGACAAGATCAAAGAAAGGAAGAACAAGAAGACAGCAATTAACAACAGCCGAACACGAGTAGAGAAAGTCCAAGCACAAGCTGAATACACAGAAGCAAACAAGCAAGTGAAGAAGAGCATTAGAGCCAACAAGAAGAAATACGTAGAAGAACTAGCAACGACGGCGGATAAGCTGCGAGGGAAGGAAATATGAAACAGCTTTACGATATATCGAAGAAAGTAACAGGGAAATACAGTAAACCAGAGAGACCGGTCAAGGACAAAGAAGGCAGGCCAATCACTGAAATTCAACAACAGCGGAACAGATGCGTAGAATACTTCGAGGAACTCCTGAATGGGCCGGCTTCAATGAATCCACCGGACATCGAAGCAGCGCACACAGATCTTCCTATATGTGTCAATCCACCAACGACGGAAGAAATCAGAATGGCCATCAGACAAATCAACAGCGGGAATGCAGCAGGACCCGACAATATACCAGCTGAAGCACTGAAGTCAGACATCAAAGTAACTACAAATATGCTTTGCCTTCTATTCAAGAAGATTTGGGAGGAGGAACAAGTGCCGATGGACTGGAAAGAAGGACACCTCATCACGATCCCAAAGAAAAGAGATCTGAGCAAATGTGAAAACTACAGAGTAATTACACTACTGTCAGTACCAGGAAAGGTCTTTAGCAGAGTTTTGCTGAACCGGATGAAAGATGCAGTAGACGCTCAACTTCGAGATCAACAACCTGGATTCCGTAGGGATCGGTTGTGCACAGACCAAATTGCGACACCACGGATCACCGTCGAACAATCAGTGGAGTGGAACTCGTCACTATACATCAACTTCATTGATTATGAAAAGGCATTTGACAGTGTGGATAGGAGAACGTGATGGAAACTTCTTCGACACTACGGAGTTCCTGAGAAGATTTTCAATATTATCCGGAACTCATATGACGGACTACAGTGCAAGGTCTTGCATGGAGGACAACTGACAGATGCATTCCAAGTAAAGACCGGAGTCAGACAAGGTTGTCTACTCTCTCCCTTCCTCTTTCTTCTGGTGGTCGACTGGATTATGAAGACCTCGACATCTGAGGGAAAACGCGGAATACAATGGACAGCTCAGAATCAATTAGACGATTTGGACTTCGCAGATGATCTAGCCCTCCTATCACGTACACACGAACAGATGCAGATAAAGACAGCCAGTGTAGCAGCAGTCTCTG